GCAGTGGGGATCTCACAGTCAACCAGCGAGGTTATGAGGTTTTCTTCAGTGAGTCTCAGTACAATCAGGATGGAGAAAGCAGAAGATCCATCACCCATGATTTGAGGTCTGCATCATGGGTGTGGAAGAAGTTTCCAAAGTGAGAAAGCTGAGACAGGTGTGAGGGCACGACGTGTTCATGACGAGTCTGGGCTGTGTGCAGAGCTAAGCAACTCCAGAAGGGAGCAAGGACGGACTGGGACAATGAGGAAGGGTCTATAGTCTGAGGAAGGTGACTGGGGTGGAAGTAGGAAAACAGAGAAAAGAATATCAGAAATCCTCAAGGGAAAGAATAGGTAATACCATGAAAGAGGCAAGTTTCAGAGTTGGATATATTGTAGGCAGAGCCCAGAATGTATCTCATTCCCCAACAAGCTGCTGCCCTCCAGCTGTCAGACTGTTGATAGGTTTCATGAGATATGCTGTCAGGGTTATCTATTCCTAAACAGGAGTCTCTTCCCAGACAAAGCAAAGGTACTTGAAAAATACAGGATTCTTTGGTGATAGAAGGGCAGGCTCCACAAACAGATGTTTAAGAGTTGAGAGCTAGATTTCTGGGTGAGGACACCCCTCAGTACTTCTTTCAGATCTTACTAAGCAAACATGTCTAATATGCCTCAGAAAGCACCACTTCTGCCTAAAGCTCATCTTGCGAATGGGTTTTGTACAAGGGTTATGGTCCCAAATTCGGGAATCTCTGGCCTCGCCCGGCAGTTTCTGGGTGCTCCCTACTACTGTTCTCTCCAACCTCACCCTGGTCTCTTCTCAGTTCCTAGAATGTTCCTTTCTTGGTCCAAGCTTTTGCACTTACAAAAAGGTTTCCTCTGTCTGAAAACCTTTCGACTTTCCATGAGGCAGCTCTTTCTCATTGTTGAGGTCTCTACCTAAATGTCATCACTGTAAGAAGCCGAACCCAACCACTTGACCTCAAACACATTCTGCACCCACCAACAGTACAGCGATGATTATCTCTGTCTCCCGCAAGGAAGGTAAGCCCGTGCAAACAGGGCCAGTTCCGGCATATCCTCAATGCCTAGCATGCTGCCTCAGCACAGAGTAGGGGACCCGATAAACAATGTTTGAATAAACAAATGATGAGTGATCAGTGAGTAAGCATCTCAGAGAGGCAGCAGAGGGACGGAGGAAAGAAGGAAGTGGTTCCATCGGCCGCCATTTTCTCCTCTCACAATGTACCTTTCGACTCTTTCATTTGTCAATTTTAATCAAATATTCCAATAGGAAAAAAAAAAACTTGTGTAGAAGGGGACAAAGGAAATTTATTGGTTTGGGGGCATGGGGGATCCACTGTGCCCTAAGGATGGTCCTGGGTGCTACGTACCCCAACTCTGGCAGTAGGACCATGGTTATGAGTTGAACTGTATCCTCCCAAAATTTATATGTTGAAGCCCTGACCCCAAGGATCTCAGAGTGTGACTGTATTTGGAGATAGAACCTTTAAAGAGGTATTAATTTCAGTGAAGCTGTCAGGGTGGATCCCAATCCAATTTCAGTAGTATCTTTATAAGAAAAGAAATTTGGACACAAAGAGACATCAGGAAACACCCAGGTAAGGAAAGACGTGAGGACACAGCGAGAAGGCGGTCATCTAGCAGCCAAGGAGAGAAACCTCAGGAGAAACCAAATCTGCAAACACCTTGATCTTGGACTTCCACCTTAAATTTCTGGCCTTTAAACCACTCAGTCTGTGGTGTTTTATTATGGCTGCCTGAGCAAAGTGATACAAACATTGATAAATTATAATAGTTTTATCACATCATGGATAACTTTAACGGACTACAGCAAGTTGGACCTGGCTGACCTTATTGTCTAGGGGAACACATATCCGACTCTGCCACTTGTCACCTTGGGGTATTTACCTGATACTACCTACTTCTGTGTGTGTGTGTGTGTGTGTGTGAGAATCCATACCCTCTTCTACAAAATGGCAGGAATGGAAGGATTACATGAGACGAGGTTTATAAAAGAACTTGTCAGAGATCTTGAAGGTCACTGCTCAACCAATGTTAGTTCCCTCTCCTCCTCTTCCTGTCCAGCTCGGTGACACTGGAGCAATAAGACCTCTGTTCCAAGAGAATCACAAAACACAAAACAGATCAGTAAAAATCGTTGACTGAAATAAGTCCATCCAAGTGTGAGTGAGTGTGTAAATGCATGAGCGAGGGTTTCTAACAGATGCTCTTCGAGCGGATGACTGGCGTTCAGTCTGATGACCAAGTTTCTGCTGTAACAGAAGTTCCGTAGTCTGAGTAACACTCCAGGCCACAGGGATCATGGTGGCAGAAATATTTGACAGAGAAAGCCAAAATTTGATGGGGCGAGTTTACCAGTTTCCCATTTCTAAATGGAACTAAAACCGGATTACTGGCCAAGTGAGGAGTCCGCATGAGTTATTGAGGACAAGAGTCCTTCAGGGCTCTCTGGAACCAGTTAGGTCTCTAAGTAGCTGCTGCCTACAAATAGTCAGCTTATTCTGTGCAGATATCTCCTAAATGATTATTTCTAGGGAAATGAGAACTTCTGATGAAGAAGAGACATCTGGAGCCCCTGGCTGCCAAGTGTCATGGTGGTCAGTGAAGACAAGAAGCCAAACTAACAGTAACAACCAGGCTTTTATTTACTGACTGCAATTAGTAAAGGCTGGAGGCAAAGGGAAAAAAAAAAAAACAGCCAAAATGGTGCTGGCCCCTCATTGGTCCATTTTTCCCCTGAGAGAAAGAGTTGGAAGGCAGTGATGCAGAGTACAGGGTGGAGAAAAGTCTCTTAGTCAAGGCCCCAGTGAGGAAAGTCTTTGGCAGAAGTGCCTAAAAAATGTCTTAGTCAAGACCCCAGATGAAGGGACCTGGCTCCGACAGAGAAATGAGTATGAGCCCGGCTGGGGAAGGGGAGGAGGAGGCAGTTATAGGGGCACGGCGGGGAGTCTGAGTCCTACAGACCTCAGTGTACTGACTGTGTACCCCCTCTGGTGTGGGGAGGGCAGATTCCCCTGTGAGACCTAACAGGAAAAACTTTGCAACCACCTGTAGTCAGACTTGAAAGATCATACACAGCATCATATCCTGCAGTCAGACTCCTTAGAATCCATAAGGTCTCCCCCAAACATGGATCTGAAGCCCCGAGTCTTAACCTTCTTAAAGCCTGGGATGCTGGAGAATCTGCTTAAAGCCGTGAACTCTCCTCTAAAAATGCACATAAACATATTTTGCATAAAATTGCATAGAATTTATGAATTCAAGTTCACCTCTAGGGCC